CTAGAAAAACAAAACAACAAACAAAAAACTACGTGGGTCTCAGGGTAGAGAGGGGGTGCGGTCAGAATAGTGATTGCCACACAATGAAGGAAGGCCTGAATTCAAGCCCTCGAACCCATATTTTAAAATAAGCAAACAAACAAACAAAAAAGCACAGGGCAGGGCATGGCAGTGCATAGCTTTAATCCCAGCTCTTGGGAGGCAGAGACAGGAGGATCTCTGTGAGTTCGAGGCCAGCCTGGTCTACAAAGTAAATTCCAGGCCAGTCAAGGCTACACTGTAAGATGCTGTTTTTTTTGATTTTTTTTTTTTTTTTTTTTTTTTGGTTTTTCGAGACAGGGTTTCTCTGTGTAGCTTTGCGCCTTTCTTGGGACTCACTTGGTAGCCCAGGCTGGCCTCGAACTCACAGAGATCCGCCTGGCTCTGCCTCCCGAGTGCTGGGATTAAAGGCGTGCGCCACCACCGCCCGGCGATGCTGTTTTTTTTTTTTAAAAAAAAGAACAATGTGTTCTACCACTGGGGAGGCTGAGGATGGGGGATGCTGAGGGCTCACTGTAGTGCCAACCAATCTAGCTGAATCAGTGAGATCCTTGCTAGTGAGAGATCCTGTCTCAAAAAGAAAGATAGGGAGTGATTGCAGAAGACACCCAAAGTCAACCTCTGACCTCCGCGTGCATCTACGTACTAGTGTAATCACACAGGTATCCATACACACCCACACACACACACAAATGATCAGTACTAACATTTCAGACCCTTTCATGAAGAGGACCATTCTGAAACAGTGAAGTCTGAACTATGATGCACCCCGCCGCCCTTGCTCATCCTGGTTCTGTTCCGTCAGATGTACCGCTCTGTTCCTACCTTCATTCTGATGGCTCCCATGGGAGCAGGAAATAAAGGCTTTCTGGGGAGAACAGAGAACGTGACAGATGAGAAGGGGGTCTGGGAGCTTGCTATCTAGATTTGGTAGAAATAACCCGACAAGTTCATCATCTTCCACAAGGCAATGTGGGATGTGATGGGCAGGCATCTCTTCATCTTGGCTTACAGCAGCTTTTGTCTGGAATATACCTCCCTCTCATCTGTCCACAAAGGCCCAGATACCTGCCAGCTTTTGATTATGCCCTGAGAGGTCTGTTATCATCAAAATGGGTAGCAATCCAGAACACAGGAGGCTGAGGCAGGAGAGTTATGAGATCCAGGCCTGCCTAGACTACACAGTGAGAACTTCTTTTTAACAGATAATTTAAATAAATAAAAGCAAAAAAAAAAAAATGATAGGTTGAAACATAAAGGAAACTACTCAACTATTTTTCTCAATAGAAGAAAGTCCAAAGATCAGTTGCTTTTCCCCATTTGTCTTCTAATTATGCTTTCTGAAGATCTGCCTCCCCCTGGATGGTAAGATTGAGCTACCACAGAATGCCAGGGAAGTCAACATTTCTCCCTGCTCACTTTTTTTTAACCAGTCAGGCTTTGGGATAAGCCTCCAGTCTTTTAAAATGTGAAGTGGTGAGTTACAGGAAGTTTGCTTTACTTGAAGGAATTCCCACATCCGATGTTCTCCGTGTCCCACAATGCACCACAGCAGCCTGATTCAGACATCTCCAGCCATGATGTTAAAAATGTCAACTTTATAAAAAGTCAGGGTCATGGTGAAAAATATGGGGACATTAAATGTCTATAGTCAACAGATAATTGTGTTGTGTGTGTGTGTGTGTGTGTGTGTGTGTGTGTGTGTGTGTGTGTGCCTGCATGCGCATACACACAAGCATGCATGTGTCATGTTGTCTGCAGGGAGATTCCTGGCAACCTTGTAGAATGGCTCCATCTCTCCTTTCCCATAGTTCTTACAATGACTAAGAACTTCACTGAACAACTGCCACCCTTGCAAGAGACAATCATGCCAATTTTGTACTACCATAGTATTTTGGTTTTGCCCTTGAAATACATCGGTTATAGGATAGTTCATAGTTTGGGTTGGGGATGCTCTTGCTAGGGACACAGGGTACCCCACATAGCCCTCCACTAGAGAATATCTTGCTATCACTCTTGGTAGTGACAACTCTCATCCGGGCTTCCAGTCTTCAGGAAGGTTTAGTACGCAATCAGGGATTGATAATAAGTCAAAGCAAACTTAGTAACTTATTTTCACATGACTCTAACCTTGCCATTTTCCCACTTAAAAACCTAACAGCAGGGATGGGGAGCAGCCTGTTGGTAAGTTGCTGGTTGAGCAAGCAAGAGGACCCAAGTTTGATCCCCAGGACCTATGTGGAAGCCAAGTGTGGTGACAGTGTTTATGTGTAAACCCAGCACCAAGGAGGCAGAGGCAGGCAGATCCCTGGCGTTTGCTAGCCAGCTAAATTGGTGAGCTGTGGGTTCAGTGAGATCCCGTCTCAAAACAAAACAAAACTAAACTAAAAACAACAATGTAGAGCTATTGAAGAAAGACACTCAACATTGACCTCTTCCCCCCACAAATGTGCATACATGGGCACACACACACACACACACACACACACACACACACACACAGAGAGAGAGAGAGAGAGAGAGAGAGAGAGAGAGAGAGAGAGAGAATATCTGAACAGTGTTTGGCACATTATAGATATTTTAAAAAGAAGTTTATTGAATAACCTCCCTTCAAAATATTTTGAGAAAATGAATTGATGAGAAAGTTCTCATTAAAATAATTGTTTCTGCATCATGAAAAGACTGCTTAGCTGTTCACTAACCCAAGACATTTACCTCTGAAGTGCTAAGTGCATTCAGCCTTCAAGTATCCAGAGCAAATTCCCACTGACAATTCACTTGCAATTCCGTACCTGAGCTCACTCTGAGACACTGAATGAATCACTAATCTTGGCAGGGCACCAAAACAACTGTTCTTCTCACTCTGAGTTCTCACTGCAAACTGGACAACCATTGTCTCCATGCCTGCATGGAACAAGTACAGGTAAAGTACATTTACTGTTGCATAAATGAGCACCTCCAGAAACCACACGTGGGTCTGTGAGATGTCGCAGTGGGTAAAGGTGCTTGCTGCCAAGCCTCGTGACTTCAGTTTCATTTCCAGAACTCACAGGGAGGAAGGAGAGAATTGACTCACGTAAGTTGTCTTCTGACCTCCCTCTCTATATATTAAGTAGCACATGTACCTACCTTCCATATGTGTGTGCACATGCGCACACACACACACACACACACACACACACACACAGGAATGAAGTCCACCTCCAAAGCTGGGTGTTATTGACCATTTAAGAGAAGTCTCTACTTTAATAAGGTGTTTGTGCCCCTTAAGATAAGAGCGCAGCATGACAAAGTATTTTCCATAGTGTCCCCATGCCCCTCTCCTGTCCAGCATAGAATACCTCTTCGAATTGAATAAAAGCGACTTTCAGCACCTGCTAAAACTGAAAGTGCTTACTGAGTTCTAAGCAGCCCATCTCTCCATGGATGCCGTGGATCTGGTTCTGAGACAATAAGAAAGGACGTTTTGATTGTTTAAGGGACAATCACCCGTTTGGGGAAAAAGTGAGAACGTTTTACGTGGATAGTTGCCATAGGACCCATTGCCCACTGTAGAAGGCGGTGCAGAATGCTAGCCAGCATCCCAGTGCCACTCACATTTTTACCTGCTTTCAGTGGGTGACTGGAACCTCCACTGGGACTACTCAGCAGCAGCTTTTGCTTCCTCCCTTCTCCCCTTTAGGACCAAGCACGTGGCTGCTCATTCCTGCAGCCACGCTCCCCCATGAACTCCATGAAGCTCCCGGGATGAACATGTTGCTGCTCCTGGTTTCCGTGTGTGTTATCCTGGTCACAATTCCTGCAGAGGCCTCAAAGCTGAAGGAGGAGTGGGAATTGCCAGAGTCAAGAAGGGAATCACTCACGGAAAGGGTTTTGAAGCCTCAAGACTCATCAACAAAGCACATCCAGAGAGGTTTGGGGTTGAAACTACGTGTGTGAAAAGCGACGCAGGGGAACAGGGGAAATGCAATTCTGCAGTTTGTAAATGCACACCCAGTTTACAATCCTACTGCCCTGAAATTCAGCACAGTGGAGGTGAGATATAATTTAGACTGTCCTAAATCACTAAAAGCAGTTTCAGTGGGAATAAATGACCTTGAATTACACACACACACACACACACACACACACACACACACACACACACACTTTAAAACACTGTTTCAAAAGTCTTCAAATGTCAAAGACAGCTAATGCAGATGTGAGATTTTCAACGCAGCCATCAGGAAGGCAGATCACAGTCAGGCTGGCCTTCTGCTTAACCAAGGAGGACAGGTCATATAACCATGTCACTGTTAGCAAAGTAAAGAGGAGGGCGGGGCCCGCCACAGAGGCTCTCAATGGAAGTGGTCTTGATGATGCTGCAGACGCATGTGTCTCAGAGCAACTAAGCAAAGAAAAACACACATGAGTAGTTACCCCAAAAATAAACTCTGTGGTCCCTTCAAGACACTGAGCTCTCCTGAATTCTTTGTCATCATGAAGCACATACCAAGTATCACAGGGAAGTCCAGAAACTCCCCCCACCAAAAAAAAAAAAAAAATTCAGAAGGGCATGAGCTTCAGAGCTGGATGGGAGCAGGACCAGGCCTGTCCATCACTCCTACATCCAAATGCTGTGACGAGACAGCTCTAATGAGTTCTCACTCATTTCTACACACACACACACACACATGCACACACACATGCCTTGATGCTTCTGTTAAACTGATGTGTCACAGAAATTACAAACTTGTATTGGTATAGCTGCCTGGGCTATTTAAAGCAGAATACGAAAAAAACCAATGGGAATGGTGCTCTCAAGTTGCTTTGAGACTAGTGGGAAAGTTATGGTTTGTCCAAAAGTACATAAGGATGGGTGGTAGCGCCACTTATGGTCAGGTAGTTTATACAGTACATACCTTCATGTATGTTCCTGGGACAGACTGTAAATGAGACTTTTTTTTTTTTTAAAGGAAGCTGGGCATGTGGTGTATGCCTTAAATTTCAGAACTTGAGAAGCAGAGGCAGGTGGATCTCTGTGAGTTCAAAACAGTGTGGTATATGCAGGTAGTTCCAGGCTAGTCAAAGCCTATTTAAAAAAATTTTTAAAAAAATGTTTCAAATAAAAGAGAAGTTTCTTTTGCCTGAAAGATCGGTTATGATTTCCTGGATGAAGAGATGTGTAGACTGTGCACTGGTTGAAAAGACTCAGCTAGAGGGCATAGGCTGCATCTGATACCATGGCCCGTTCCTCACAAGCTGACCTCAGTCCCGCAGATGTCCTCAGTCTGTGCCACTGGACCTCAACTTGACAACACATTCCTTTCTAGTCCTTTGCTCCTAGGCTACAGTGTGCAGTCTTGACTCTTCTAAAGCACTAGAACATTATTTATTATCATCACTGTTGTTATTTGTGTGTGTGTGTGTGTGTGTGTGCATGCGTGTACGCGCACATGCACGCGTGCGAGTGTGTCCACGCGCATGTGCGCATCTGTGTGTGTTTGTGCTCAGGAGCCCTGACACCCGTGTGGCGGTCAGAGGACAACTTTCAGGGTTGTTCCCCTTCCACTAAGGGTTTCAGGGACCTTCCTGTTTTGGGGCAAGCATTATCTCCCACTGAGTTATCTCATCGGCTTGATTTTTTTTTCCTTTATGCTATGTAGCCCAGGCTGGGCTTGAATTCATGAACCTCCTGCCTTAGCTTCCTCAGTACGGGGATTTCATTTGTGAACCACCACCCAGCGTTTATCTTGGGCTGTGTTGCCCTTTTGAGAGTGCCTCCCATTCTAGCCTGGGGCAAGGGCCACTCCCACGGACTCCTGGAGCGCCCCGGACTGGTCTTCAGTCTGTCATTATCACTTACCACATGTGTTTTGTACGGTTTCCTATTTGGGTCCCCCACAAAATTATAGGCTCATTAAGGGTTAAGGCTATGCTTCCCCTGCTGGCAGCTAACCCCCCAGTAATTGTGCCACGCAGGCAACCTCGCATGTGCTCAGTAAACAATCTTAGCATTGCTTACACCAAGATATTTTGTTATATCAAATCAAAATGTTTCCTTCAGAAACATGGACCTGTGCCATATCCTTGGCTTTTTAATCCAATTTAACATCCTTCCCCAAGGTCTTGATTTTAATGAAAGAGAACTGAATTATATAGATGGTATGATTGTTTATCCCTTTAATTGTGAAAACTCTGCTTTTAGAGCGTTTTGGAATTGTTATATAACTGAATAAACTCCAATCCATTCCCATTAATCCCTACACATCAGGAATACAAGAACATGTGTTTCTGTTATTTTAAAAGTATAAGGAAAGCTTAAAGCAATGGTTCTCAACCTGAGGGCAGTGACCCCTTCTGGGAGGTTGAAAGACCCTTTCACAGGGGTCGCCTAAAACCATCAGAAAACAGATATGTACATTGTGATTCATAACAGTAGCAAAAATTACAGTTATGAAGTGGCAGTGAAAACGATTCTATGGTCCACTCCATTGGCGATCTCAGAGTGAAAACACAAACAAGTCTTCCTAGCAGGGAGTTAGGCTGCTATCATGGTTCCAATGTGTCTCCAACGTGTGTGTTGCGGGCTTCACTGTCAAGGCGACCGAGAGGTGATCAGGTGATGAGGGCTCCATTCTCAAGAATGGTGCCATTATCATGAGTAGGCTCCTTTCAGAGGGTCAGTTGGGTTTTCTCTCTTGTCCTCCCTACACCATACAACGTCTTCTGCCATATCGTAATGGACAAGAAGGTCCTCAAACCGTGGCTTCCCAGACTCGAGAACCATGACCGGGTTTTATTAAAAGTTACCCCAGTCTGTGGCAATCAGAAAACAGACAGCCTTGTTTCTTGTTCCAAATCCGTTCCCCATTTCCCATTTACAGAGCCATAAAGAGCTTGTTTCTCCTTTCCTCCCAGTCCTGATCCACTCAGGTTTCTTGTTTCAAAACCAAGATGGACTCTGGCTTCCCTAAAGTGAAAATAATTGTTGGGAGGACTTGATATGATTCACAAATGAAAATGCCGAAGAATCAGGTTTTTTAAGTGACAGAACTGGAGGCCTATCCAGCAGTGATCATGGCTATGTCCCAATAGGTAGGACATCTCCTTGCACTGGCCTGAATGCCACCGCTATCTACTACTACACTGCTGCCATGGTGAGTCTGGCCACAGGGTGCCTGGGTTCCCATCTCATCCCAGCATGGCTGCCATGATTCATCTTTGAGATCCCTTTGTCCATATGCCCTTCCTTCTAGATCCAGATTCCTTAGCAGAAAGGAGTCCACTTGGACAATTAAGCCAGTGTTTGTACCTTGCTTTTGTTATCTCTAAAATAGGGACCCTTGTAATTCTTGCTTGATAATTGTCTTGTTATATGTAATTTTACTATGTGAAAGTTAAAACCTTCCTTTTTGAAAAAAAAAGAAAAGGGGAAGTGCTGTGGATATTGCTCTGTATAAATAAAATGCTGATTGGGCAGTAGCCAGGCAGGAAGTATAGGCGGGACAAGCAGAGAAGAGAATTCTGGGAACAGGAAGGCTGAGTCAGGAGATGCTGCCAGCCGCTGCCATGAGTACCAACATGTAAGATACTGGTAAGCCACAAGTTATGTGGCAAGGTATAGATTTATAGAAATGGGTTAATTTAAGATAGAAGAACGAGGTAACAAGAAGCCTGCCACGGCCATACAGTTTGTAAGTCTCTGTGTATTTACTCGGTTGGGTCTGAGAGGCTGCGGGACTGGCAGGTGAGAGAGATTTGTCCTGACTGTGGGCCAGGCAGGACCAGAAAAACTCCAGCTACAGACCCTGTTATTTGCAGAATTAAAATAGGTCCTAGCCGGGCGGTGGTGGCACATGCCTTTAATCCCAGCACTTGGGAGGCAGAGCCAGGCGGATCTCTGTGAGTTCGAGGCCAGCCTGGGCTACCAAGTGAGTTCCAGGAGAGGCGCAAAGCTACACAGAGAAACCCTGTCTCGAAAAACCAAAAAAAAAAAAAAAAAAAAAAAAAAAAAAAAAAAAAAAAAGGTCCTATAACATAAGGTTTGCCAGATACTGTGATTTATATTATTTGACTCCTATGCTTAGCCTTTAGGATACATGTTCTTTTGAATAAGCTGAATAAGCAAAGTAGCATTTACTTCCTCCTCCTCCTCTTCCTTCTCCTTCAAGTTTGTTTGTGAAAACAGTACAGGACATCAGCCATCTGCAAACAATGGGGATTGAGGAGGCAACACCAGTCTATTTGTCTTCACATTGACAGATAGGGGCTTTTTCTGTGGTGACTTCCCAGGGGTCTGGAGACCATTGGGACCCTGAACTGGAGTAGGAACTGAGCAGGTGCTGAAGCCTGGGCCTGACTGGCCCTGCAGCCTTGGTCTTGGTTTGAGCCTTGGCCTTTGTCTGGCAGAGCCTGTAACCCTTGACAATGATAGCCACAAATGTACTTCCCAAACTCGGGAGTGGGTGACAGAAGTACATCTGCAGAGTTTGCTGTTGGGAACCTTTGTCATCTTGAGCTTGACTCCCTTAGGCTTTGCAAGGCTCTCGTTTAGTCCTGGCCTGTGGTAGTTTGAATAAGAATGGCCCCCATAGGCTCATATGTTTGACTCCTTGGTTCCCTACAGTTGGGAAGTATTAGGAGGTGTGGCCTTATTGGAGGTGGTATGTCATTGGCTTTGGGCTTTGATGTTTCAAAAACTCATACCATTCTCTGTTATATTTCTTTCTCTTTGCCTCATGGTTCTTGTCTCAATATGCAAGCTCTCAGCAACTATGCCAACACCATGTCTGCCTGATGGCTGCCATGCTACCTGCATGATGGTCATTGACTCTACTAAGCTCTGGAACCGTCAGCCCCCAAACTAAATCCTTTCTTTTATAAGTTGTCTTGGTCATGGTGTTTTGTTTTGTTTTGCTTTTTCATTTATTTTTATTTTATATGCATTGGTGTTTTGCCTGTGTGTATGTCTGTGTGAAGGTGTCAGAAGCCCTGGAACTAGAGTTACAGACAGGTGTGAGCTGCCATGTGGGTGCTGAGAATTGAACCTGGGTCCTCCGGAAGAACAGTCAGTGCTCTTAACCACTGAGCCATCTCTCCAGCCCCGGTCATGGTGTTTTGCCATGGCAATAGAAGACTAACTTAAGACAGTGACTTTGCATTGTTTGTCCATAACTCCTTTAGGTCCTTGTCCTTCTAGACAAAAATTTATGTTCTTCAGAACTTGGCATCACTCCCCTCAAGAGATTTGTATCGTTGTGACCAGGGTTTCTTGATGCCACTTCTGAGTCATTTTCAGGACTGGGTGTGTATGTTGCGATACTTGGACTTGGTGATGTCTGCACAGTAAAGAGACTCCTGAAGTTCTGGGAACCAGAAGAGAAGGAGAGCTTATACACATCCATTTATTGCCATTTATCTTGCTCCATTTCTTAGCATTTGGGAGGTAGAGGTAGGCAGGTGGACTTGAAGTTCAAGGTCATCCTCAGATACAACCTGAGTGGGCTACATGAGAGTCTCTGCACCCAAAAATAAAATAAAAATAGGTGAAATGCCACCACCGCTGGCTTATGTACTACCAGGGATGGAAGCCGGGTCTTCTTGGATGCTAGGAAATACTTTAACAACTGAGCTGCATCCTCAGTCCCTCATGCTTCTTTTTCTTTCAAGTCTCTCTGTCACCTTAATGAATCTTAATCTTCAGACACGGTTGACTTTTCTAAGGGGATTGCTTCAGGTGTAAGCATCAGGACTCGGTTCTTCCCTGCTGTGTTTTGTTGTTGTTGTTGTTGTTGTTGATTGTTATAATTTGTCACTCGGAGGAAAGAGAGTTTATATTCTTGTTTGCATTTTTTGGTTTGCTTTGAGACAGGGTCTTACTGTGCAGCCATGGATGTCTTAAAACTCACTCTATAGATCAGGCTGGCCACAAACTCACAGAGATCCACCTGCCTCTACCTCCCCGAGTGCTGGGATTAAAGGTGTGCGCCACCACACTAAGTCTCTTGTTTTGCTTTTTATTCTAAATTCAGAATTAGCCTGAAACAAACAAACAAACAAATAAACAAAAAAAAACCCTGGAGGCTTCAGGAAGTGGCAGCCATTTGGAAGCATGAGACAATGGACATTCCTGACCCTGCTTTGCACATGATAGCTGTGTGACTAGGCAGAAGATCCTCAGAATGGACCCTGAGTTCCAGACAGATGTCTCAGTTACCCCACATGATCAGCCCACCAACACATCTCCAGAAAGGTTGGGCTAAGTCTTCTCCCACATTTCGGATAGAAGATCTGTTCCAAATCACTGTGACTCACAGCAGTCAGGTAAGTCATCCAAAACGACATGCTGCAATTCACAGCCTTGATCACAATCTTGAGGCCCCCTAAAGAGCAACAGGGATGCATTTGAGCTTTCTATTTAGCTAAATGTGTAGCTTTGCTTCTGGTAATTAAATCATGTACCCCAGGGAGCTGAATAGCTTGTCTTAGCATCCAGCTGGGACCTGTCAGCAGATAGATGCTTGACACCATGGTCCTTGACTTTCACAATGCTTACATCATCTGTAACAACTTCTGCTGTCTAAGAGAACTTTCTACCTTTTCCAGATTTGTGACTTTCAATCGTCTCTCCCTACATTTCATGGGGCAACCCAATTTTGGGGTTGTAAAGCAACTTTTATTTCAGATCTTCACCCTAACATCAATTTTAGAAGAAAACTTATACAACTGAGATATGAATTTAGTTAAACATTCACCAGACTCTGGTGTGATGAATGCTAACATCTTAATCAAGCTGCCGATTTGGGGATCAATAAACCACATTTCGGTAGTTGCTCCCTGACTGTTCTTCTCCCTAAATGGTGGGCAAGTCTGATTTGATATTGCTGAAAAGATACATCCAAACTTACAGCAGAAAAATGATAAGATTATTTTACAATGAACAAAAAACTTAATCCTAGAATTAGGATTTTGCATCTAAGTTTCATATTTTAATTGGTAAGCTTTAATGAGAATACTACAATTAGTCAAATTCATCTGAAAAGGAGAATTGTGTCTTATATAGAATTTCAAAATAAAAAAAAACTTTATCATTGTGTAGAAAGCACGGTAAAATTCCTGAATTAAGAGAATTTCTATTTATATCCCATTTAGTCCGATTCTTTTATTTTAATTTTAAATTTTGTAAGGCTAGGTGTTGGACCCAAGCCCACAATCATTTGAGGCAAGTGTTCTACCATTAAACTACACCCTCAGGTCTCATCAAACATACTTGTACACATAATTAACATATTCTTCATATTGCCCAATTTTTCCTAAATAAAAGAGGTATAAAATAACCAAATAATCCAAGTGTACCCTTCTTTGTCTAGATCAGTGGTTGGTTTTCAACCTTCCTAATGCTGCAACCCTTTAATGCAGTTCCTCATATTATGGTGACCTCTCCCCAACCATAACATTATTTCATTGCTGCTTCATAACTGTAATTTTGCTACTATTATGCATCATAATGTGAATATCTGATACTCAAAATATCTGATATGTGACACCTGTGAAGGGTCATCCGACCCTCAAATGGCTGCTAGATAAACCCCAGCATTGGTCAAAAGATAGAAACATGTATTTACTAGACAAGAGCTACAAAATCATCTATAACTAGAGTGAATACCAGAATCATGTAAGTCCACTTGACTTCGGAAACATCTGTGCCATAACCTTAGAATACATTCACACATTGACAGCACCCACCCATCCCATCAACTGCTTCTACAGATGTGCCACTACCTAGCTTATTCAGTAGGTCAAGATGAATGGATGAGCCATTCTTAATCTATACGAGACTACAGAGGCTTAGAAACAAAAGACACACAGAATTTCCTTACCCTGGGCTGCACATTTTACAGGTCATCAGTATTCACCCAGCATAGCTTTGTAAGTGTAACTAGAAGTGTAAAAGAAGATGAGAAAACAAACAGGGTGAGAACATCTCTGAAGCCTCAAATAACTGGTGTCTTTGCTTCATTAGAAACATTCCCTATGTAACAAGGAATGTTTATTGCGACTGTGGTCAAGTTCCAAGAAGGCCACAGACCATCCGTCTTGTAGAACACCAGGAACAACTGTGCATCCTATCTGTTGCTCTGTTGGATCTGGCCTCTGAAATGTCATGCTAGGGAAAAGGTCAAAGTCAAGGTCAAAGTCTCCTGGAATTTATGCCCTGGCCTTGGAAAGCTTTGGAGTACCTCGTCAATGGCTGGGCCATGGTAACCAATGTACAGGCGCAGCTCAGCCTCCAGCCTGTGATGCACAGGGCCATGCAGTGGGACAGCAACCCCTCAGCAAAAGCCATTGCCTCCATGTAAGGCCACAAGGCCAAGTTCAGCTGGAATAAAAAGGAAGCGACAAATGGAGGAAATGCTCTGAAGAAAGATTAGAAAGAAAACTTGTCCATTTTCAAAGTGGAAGGAAAGAGATGGAAAATAAAAAACTATTTTCCTTAGGATACTTAAGAAATAGTAGATATTCCTTTCATTTTAGTGCCATTAGTAACATAGAGAATTAGACGATCCAAAGATGTGCTAGGATTCTGACTTAAGAAACACGAGGGGTCAAACCAGGCGGAAGTGGTTCATGGAAGATGCAAAGTAAAACTCAAGGAACAACTGTGGTGTTCACACCCAGACATCAGTGGAAACTGAGGAGTCCATGTGTCCTGCAAAGGAGAAGATGTGCAGATTTACTCTTCCTTAGGTAGCTAAGGAGAAGTGTTTCATAAATACCTACATCTAGCAGGGCGGGGAGGAGTAGGCATCTGAGAACGCAGGCAATGTTCTGTGAGTGTGCCAAGCTGGTCAGCCGGGTCACTGATGTGTTTAAAGACCAAGGGGAACTGGAAGGCAGACGACACAATGATGAACAGCATGGAAAGGAATTAAAGCAGCCGGTGATAAATTGAAGGCAATTTGAAGGAGGATCCTTCGGTGACAGTCCTCCGGGGATCGTGCCAGTGACACCTTATATTTCACATCCGGCTCAGTCTGAACAGATGGTGCAGACAAGGCGCTCTTCCTTGGAGGTTTCATCTGGATTTATAACCCAGTCAGTCTGATTTCCTATTGCCTCCAGATGGACTCAGGGCGAACCCCATCTACGTTCCCAGAGGAAGCAAAGAAAGCTCATTAGCAAGATGTTTGGAATGGCCCTGCTTGCCGTTTTATAGAAAAACTGTGGATTAGCAGTACAATATGTTATGCGGTATAATCTCTCCTAACCACAGAACCAGGACTTACTGCATGATAGCACAGCCATATTTTAAGTGAGATAAATGGTATCAGAACTGTCAGGCTTCAGCATATTAATATTTGGGCTTAAAAACCAAGCTGAAAACATTACCTTCACTGCCAACATTGAGATGCTTTTTCTTTTTTCTATAAAAATAAAATTACCAGGCTTTCTTAATTTTCGAATTTAGCACATCACAGGCCAAACTTTTTCATAATAATACACCCCTCTGGGGGAGAATAAAGTCTTCTCTAGTACACCTTAGAGGCTTGAAATAATATCTGAAATGAACACCACTCAGTTCTGGAAAGTATGCATTGTTCTTCCTCAGATTTCATGTTTGTGTCTTGAATTTCACTGTTACTGTTTCGAGCACTTTATCAGATTTTTACAATGCTGTAAGACACGTTATAAATTAGTGAAGAAATAAGACTATGATTTGATTCATTAGAGTCCAGAGGTAATCATTTTGTCTTTGGGTTAATGAAACTTGTCTCTTCTCTTTTAATAGAAGTACTTCTTTCACAGACCCAACTCTTATGCATAGGTAATCTCCTACATTTTATAGAGTTTATAACTGGTTATAACTAATTAGCACTACATTGAATTAACCCTTCTACTTTCACAGTAAAGGTCAGGGGTCAAATCAAGCACAGGAATGTGGCTGGGCTCCAAAAAGAAAGTAGACTGATCTAGATTTTTTTTCCCCATGTCCCTTTCTGTGCATATGTTTTCCTCATTCTTTTCTCCTAAGATTAGTTTTCTCTGCTTTGAGTCAACACATGAAACATAGAGACCATAACCTTTGACCTGTGTGTTGGTAAATTATGTGTGCTATAAAGGCTAGCCTGCAGAGTGACAAATTTACTGCCTATTTGGCTGCAGGTTAATTAGACTTAAAAAAATTGATTAGCTTATAATAACTACATGCATAACTATTATCTGCATCTACCTGAATAATTTCATTAAAAACCATTGTTGCTACCTTGGCAACGTTAAGCACACGAGTTAGTTTCAGTTGTCTATTGGGAGACTAGAGGGGAAAAGTGGTTGAGTAGGAGATCATGCTTTGAAAACCACAAGACAGATGGTCTGGTCTCATTACTGGATGACGAAGGGAAGGTTAAAGCTTGAGAGTCTTGGCTGCTGAAGAACACGTTTGAATGGCCAACATCACACCTTCATGTTCGTGTCCCTCCATTGGAGAGTAGAAAGCGAGAGCTCATCCTCCAGGGTCCCCTAAAGCCATGGAGGATCCTGCTGCTCAAGTCTGGAATATTAGTGGATAAAAGTCGACTAGAACTTCCTTTACGATCCCCTTCCTGACTGGAAAGCTCAAAGGATGATGGACAAAAAGAGAAAAAAATGAAAAGACGTGTGCTGCTTAGGCTTAGCATTCCTGCTGCACACAGCAAATGATTTCCTTTGCTCATATGAGTGACTCTGTGATGTTCTTCTGGAATTATCACCTGGACACAACCCATTGGATATGGCTATCTTAACTCAGGAAACTGGTAAATACAAGGCTCCCCTGAGGTGCCTAAACATAGTCAAATTTTACTGGAAAGCTTTGGGTCCTTGTGAGGATTGATGTTATGTATCAACTTGACAGGCCCACAAAACACCCAGATACTTGACTGAACACTATTGGAGGCTCTACAAGGACACTTCTGGAAGAGATGATGAACCCATAGACTGGTTATAACTAGCCTGTCTTAGTGAGGGTAGCCCTCGTCCAACCATCTACAAACCAGGCCGGAGCTAAGAGGCAGAATAGGAGGATACCCCTCATGCCTACACTGAGAGCTAAGAGCTAGCATTTTCCTCTGGGACTGGAAATGAAAAATGGATGCTGGGGTCTCAGTCCTACAAGCTTTTACAATAGAACTCACTCTGTTGGCTGTCCTTGTCCTCAGACTTCTGGGCTTAACCTGGAGTTGTATCACCAGCTGAACCATTGCCCATCTTGGAAATGCTCAGTGTCTATAACCATGTGGGGCAAAGCTTTCTCTCTCATATACATGCATACTTAGGTAATCATATATTCATACATACATATATAATTTGCATTCTCTTTGGAGGATACTGACTGTCTGAGAGAATCAGAGAAAATGTCACCTAAAAGGATCTTGAGGGTGGATTAAGTTCAGGATCCTGAGATGGAAGATTCATCTGGAGAGGTCCAATGTAATCACAACAAACTTCACCGAAAGCAGGTGGAAAGAACAGAGTCCTGGGCAGAAGATGTGGAAATGGAGGTAGAATTCAGAAGGAAGAACAGATGGTCCACTCCTCACACTGAACAGAGAAGAGCAGCGTGAGACTCAATGCTAACTAAAACACGAAAATGAACTCTTCCCCAGCACTCCCAAGAAGAGGACCCATTTTAGACACTGACCCCCATAATTACAGAATAATAAACTTGAACTGTTACCCTTCAAAGTGTATGGTAATTTGCTAAGCAAATGTAGGAAACTAACACAGCTGTATTGTTGCAAGGATCCCCAAGGAATTACACCACCTCTAATCACTCCTAAATTCATTTGAGACACTGCAGGGGAATCAGGAGGCTATGCCCTTTGGGTAGATTAAAACTTTCCTTTATGATCCAATGAGACAAACAGTGTAGACATGATAGCAAATCAGGATTCTCTTATCCAAGTCTTTTTTTTTTTTTTTTTTTTTTTTTTTTAACTCAGCTACCCCACAGGCTTTGTGACTAGGCTGCATCCACTGAGTGGAAATTTCATTTGCGTGACATTTAATGCAGAACTCTCCGAATGCATGATTAATTCTTGCAGATCAGATATTAACTCATTATCAGATTTACAGAAGGTGGCGATGCAATTAGGAAGCAGTTCTTTTCAGCACCCTCTGCCAGGTTTTTTTCTCTGCCAAATCATTCCGCCCCGGGGAAACAACACGGGACACTCTCCAAGGCAAGTTCAATCTCGTGAGCAATCGGTTTCAGGTAATTGCATCTTGATTATTGACAGCTCCCCGAGGAATTTTGGGTCTCTCTCGTCCTGCTCTGAGACTGCAATTCATTAAGGTTTTCCATCTTGAGCCAGTTTTAATTAAACTGTGCTCCTTCGCTCCTAAGTGTCCCGTAGCTCGTCGTAGTTACTGTAGAAATCCAGCTGTTGAGTTAATGGGATGTCCCATTCCCTGTTGTGGCTCCAGGAAACTTCCCTTTGGTTTTACAAGGTTGGCATTACAAGTAGTATCTCAGTTTACATTGTTGGTTTTTTCAGGAAATAAAACTGGAATTCAAAGACATCCATGGGCTGGCACTGTGCTGGTGACAGTGGTATTCATGTTACTAAATGACTTTAATGCTGTAAACACAGGTTAATTTTAGCTGCCTTCCCTCTGAAATCCATCTGCCTCCTAATTAAATGGATGGTGCAATGTGATAGACATGTTTTTGGATGACTCAAACTTTCCATCCTTCTTCCAGTCGGGTCCTTAACCAGCTGAAATCATTATTTTGGACATAGTTACTTGTATGTTTTTGCTGACAAACACTAGCGTGCCATCAACTGCCTCTCTTGTTATCTGTTATTAGTTTCCAAAGGAATAACTTGGTCTGGGCAATACAACTTCTCCCTTGCTGTGGGTTTCTGAAGAGTCCCTTTGTTCAGCCAACAATCTAATGAATATTCACTGAGCATCTTCTTCATGAAGGGCCTCAAACAGGACTCTGCACAGAATGTGAAACCGCCGAAGATGGGCTCTACTTTCTGGGTGTTCATTTATGACAAGTCATGTGTGTTGATTCCTTCTAAGCTTGGGGACTCTGCGCTGTCTGGGTTTGGAAATCCTTGGGGTGTATCTTCAGCGACCAACTCAGTAACGGAGGAGTGAGTGCTATAGTGAACAGGGTGATGGGATGGAAGAGCATCCCCTTAACAACTGTCACTGATCCCAGGTCAGGTAATGAGGGTCAAGATGGCGGCAGTGACATTAGAAGCCCACCCCTACCCAGTCACAATGCCTGGGCCACTGGCAGTCTAAAGGAGAGATGACTACTTAAGAAACATGGGAAAATCATGAGGAGACAGAGACAGAGACAGACAGAGAGACAGAGACAGCAGGGATAAAGAGAAAACCAACACCACAACATACACCTTTAAAAGGAAAGATACGAAAAATTTCAGCAACTGATTACTTCAGCTTTAAAACTAGTTTTTTCCTTTAATTGAAAATGTACATAATTACTTGAAAAACTTAAAAACACTGTATTCTGGAGTTCAGTATGGATATATAATATATCTGAAAACTATAGAAAGGAGGAATGAGTAGGGTAGGGATGAATGAAGGTAGCGGCATTATGCAGCTCTACCTTAATTTGACAGTCTCGGAGCAATAGGGACTTAAAGTATAGTGTGATAACTGAGACATAGGTTTTAATTTCAATAGCAAATCAGCAAAGTTAACACTAGAATGTATAATTAGCAAGTCAAGGTGGGAATAGGGGTGCACAGCTCTGATCCGCTCATTTTAGAGGCAGAGGCAGGAGGATCTCTGGATTCGAGTCTTGCCAGAGCTACATAATGAGTTCCAGGTCTAGCCAGGGCTACATGGTAAAACTCTGTCTCAAAAAGAAGAAAAAAAAAGAAACAGGGAAGAAAGTAACAGCATATAAAACAGAGAAGGAATACTCCCAAACAAGCCTGTCATTAATTACATTAAAATTTCAGACAAAGTAATGGTACAGTTTAAAAGGCAAAGACTACTAACGTTCATTAAGAAAAAGGAAGATCCAATTATCTTCTTTTAATGTAAGATGCATTGTACATACAAAGATACAGTTAGGCTAACATTGAGTAGGAAGAAAAAAAAAAAGAT